TAACTTAAGCTCTGAATCACAAGGTTTAATTCTCTTTCTTGTAAATTTGTTGTCGTACATGAAATTAATGTTTGATAATTACATGCGTCAAGTCACCATCCAAACTGTTAAAATTCTTGAGACAATGAAGTTCCATAATGAAACACAATTTAAACAATAAGTTCCATAATGAAACACAACTTAAATTAAGATGATGATGATCATTAAAAAATAATAATATTTTTATGGTATCTCTTTCCCCTCTTGTTCATGTCACAGACAGACACACAGGGGAATTAAGAAGAACAGCAGTTCTTGCTCAGCTTTGCCCAGCACTCTCCTCCTTTGAAACATGTCTGTGAAAGCATCTCTTACTCAGCTTTACTTCAATCCCATTTGCTTTCATCTCTCTTCAAAGGAGATTTCTCCATGCTTTTGATTACCCCAGTCATACTTTCATATTTCCCTCTGTGCTGAAGCAAGCAGATGACCAGCACATGACTGCCAACTCCTTTACCCCCTGCACTTCAAATGTCCTTCAACCTCCTAAAAACTCATTTTTCTTTTAAATGCCACAAGTCCTCACTGAGGGGTCTAGGATGACTCCACACCAAGTTATTTAGTACTCTAGAGGGGCTACTCCCAAACTGTAGGAATTCCAGCAATGTTATATAGAAGACAGCCTGGGACACTTCACAGCTATCGAGCATTAGATCTGGCTGCTCATCCCTGTTCCTTGGGGCCTCTCTGTATCCTACAGCCAATCTCCTGTTTTTCTGTGCTGTTAGTGTGGACCTAACATTATTCTTTGCAGAGCACATCCTTCTCCTCTTTTCAACTCATTCCAGCTCCCTGTTGGCCACAGGGTTCCCAGCTCTCAACCACACATTTTAACAATAGCTGGAAATTGGAGTCCTGCAGGGAACATTTTATTTTAGCAGAGTACATTTTTCTTCCTGTTAGATAAAATATCTCCTGGAAAAAGAACCTAACAGTTTCAGATTCAACCTTTATTTAGCATTGAGGAATCTGTATGGAAATTCTATTTCACAGGTCATTCACAGTAAGATTTGAGGCATAAATTACAGGTCCTCAGGCTTCCCTGCAATGACATTCTGAGCCCAAACCACAGAGAAGGACAGACCTGGTGGAATTTCCAGGAAGTCTCCACAGAAATCACCAAATCCCTTCTTGCTCAGGAGACCTTGCTCCATAACATCCCCAGCTCTTCAAGCAGCCCAGACCCAGCCTCTCTGAACAAATGGAGAAGTTATTACAGCAACAAACAGTCACTTTCTCCTGATGAACCTACTTGGTCTTCAGGGTCAACTGCTAATTGAGCTGATTAAAGCCAGGCAGAGGTCTTCACTTGAGCATGAGCTGAAGACAGAGGAGGGAAAGCAGAGGTGCCAGTCAGATCAGCTCCCTTGCAAGACTAATTTTAGTGACCTGCATTTGGCTCTTCCACAGGAGATGGGTGTAAGAGCAGGGTGTTAGTTTTGCTAAACCCCAAGCCAAACACAGCCTCTGATTCTGGTCCAACCCAAAACATTTTAACTCCTCTTTCACCTAAGGGTCCAAAACCATTGGATGGGGCTGTCTGCTTAATAACACCACCACCTTTGTGCTTTGGATGAGATACAAGCCACTCACCACATCAGAGCCCATGACTGGAGTGAGGGCACAGCATTACTCATGCCCTACTCTTCCTGAGGAATCCTCCCACACCATATGAACTTAGTGTTTTCTCATTTCATGCAGCTGAAGTTTTACCTCTTTCACGCCGGTTTTATCCCTAAATCATTATTTACAACAGAATTCTATTTAAAATAGAATATGGGCTAAAGTTTCCCTATTATTTCTTGTTCTTTCTGTGAGAACTATTGCTATACAGGCAGACAGGCTCACACGAGACCCACTCTGCTCCAAGCCAGCCTGGAGAACAAAACCAGAAATTCCTGGAGCCAAGCCAAACAGGAACACTCTCCAATTTCAAATTCTGGGCTCAATTTAAAAAACAAGTTTAAAATCCAAAGGCAGGATCAAGGCAGGTGAAGTTTAACTCTCACAGTGTCCCCATCTTACCAGTGAGCACCTATAGCACAAGGTTTAATTCTCTTTCTTGTGGATGTGTTGTCATAAATAATGGGAATATTTGATATTTACATGCCAAGTTCACTGTGTACACCACTCAAACTAAACCACATCCTTGGACAATAAGTTCCAAAATGAAACAAAATCTGAGCTGAGATGGTGATGATGGTGATGATAATGATGATTATCATCATAATCATCTTTTTATGGGATCTCCTCCCCCTCCTGTTCATGTCATGGGGAGACAAGCAGAGCATTAGGAACAGATGATGTGGCTAAGCCAGTGCTGCTGGAGCCGGGTGAGAGCACCTTGACTTGACCCCAAATCCAGTTCCCAGATCTAATCACTAAACCACAGAGGATGTCTACGCCAGGAATGTTTAGTTTACAAGTCAAAACAGAGCCTAACTGCCAGCATCGATAGCCCATCCACTGGGTCTATCTCTACCATTTCATACATTATTCATCTGGACCTTGCACGACACAGCCCTTGAAATCAGAGCCCAGAGGCCAGAAGGGGTGAAAAGGCAAGGCTGCTAAATGGTAAAGCACTTCCACACCCTGCTTTGCTTTCCTGAGTTCCTGCCCCGAGGGTTCCTCCCTCAGCTGCCAGCCCAGGTGGATTTGCATGGTCCAGTGGAGACTGCTGCTTTCTGCACCTGGCTTTGGGTGGTGCCTTTATCGTGGAATCATAGAACCATTCCGTTTGGAAAAAAACCTCTAGGATCATCAAATCCAGCCTGTGTTCACCACTAAACCACTTCCCTAAGCGCTACATCCACATGACTTTTCCAGGGAGGGTGAACCAGGCACTGAGGTGCTGGGTCCCCTCACCCTGCAACAGCAGAGACCCAAAGCAGCCCATGAAACACCCACCTGAGCCCCAGAGTCTCACAGCTCTGGTAGTTTAACCAGTAGTTTAACTCTTAACAGCAATTTTCTCCAAGCTATTCCTTAACTTTATTATTCCTAGCACCAAAATATGAGACTGGAGTGTGTCCATGACATAAAAGTCCATGTGAGAAGTGGACACTTGTTAAGATCGTTCAAGTACTGATTTAAAAACTCTTCAAAGCCCATGGCAGTCCTGGCAACTCCTGTTCATGTGAACATAAACCTCTGATTCTGTCCAAGGCCAAATGGCTGCCTCCCTCCATCCCTTCTGCCCCTGGAACACACAGTGGCCTGGGGGGGAACAGAGCTATTTTGGCTGCAAGACACTTTAATAATTCCTTGTGCTTGTTCTGAGAAAGACCATCTTTCATATGTGTGAAACATCAAGCAGGTTCCAGCACTGGGACTCACTCCATAAAGAGCAGTGTCCTGCCAGCATTGTCACCTTGTGTTTATCTATAAAACATTCAACTTCCAGCAAGTTCCCACGGTAGGCAAGAAACATGAGACTTCCCTCACCCACAATCGAGAACAGCTTAAACACGTTCCCTCCCCTCCTCTCACTCCCATCCCTCCCAGGTAACACGACCTGTGTAGCTCCACCTGCTGCAAACCACTCGGGATCAGATTAAAAATCCCATTTATCTCCTCTGCAGAGCTGTCAGCGTTCACCACGGCCACGGGGCACCGGCAGCACTGACAAGCCCTGCTCCTGCTCTGGGGAGGAGCTGTGCCGGTGCAGACCAGGGACAGCTCTGGCCTGAAGCACCTCAGCATCCCAGCTCTGGTTGTTCACCCTGCTGGGACAGAACAGCGACACTCTGCTCTCTGACTGCAGCCTGGGCTAGGGAAAAGGGCTTTGAGATTGGGCATCCAGACAGGAAACATTTTTTTCTTGTTGTAGGTAAGAGCCTCTCAATGGAATTTTTCAGAGACAACCATCAGAATAAAATCCAACCCTCCTGGTACCTCAGAATTTCACAATGGTTCAGACGTGATCAAATGAATTATTTCTCAAGGGCAGATTTACTGCACAAGTACATAAAGTTCTATTTTGCTCAGATGCCAAACTCATCCACATCTTTCCCTGTTGGACTGTCCCTCTTCACACAGCACAGCACCACACACTGACCCAAGGGACTCTGATTTCGTACCCCAGATAAGGATTTTGAAGCCTGTCCAAGTTTAATCACGGCTCAAGCTCTTGAATAAATATTTCAGTGACAAAACAGAATTGTTAAGCCCTTTGCTATGAACTACCGTGTTGAAAAAAAAAAATTTCCACCATCCACAAACCTCAATTTTCCTACCTGCAAGAGAAGGATGACAGGCTCTTGACTCCCTGGGTGTTTCTAGGATTAGACAGTGTCTGCTCAACGTTAATGTAGATGTTGGTATTTTGTGTTATTGCTCCTGTCACATTACAGAAAGGTCAGGGAACATATTCCATGAGTCAGAGCCTTTCCACAGCATTAGTGTAGTCCTCAGAGCTTAGCCAGGCTCTGTATTTGGATAAAGCCCACCACAACCCCACTCTTTAAAGATCCCAATGTACGTCAGAGTGGCAGCCCTTTCCTGTCACTGCCTCATCTCTGTGTTTAGGATAAGCAGCACTTGGAAGATGATACTGAAATTAAAGCAGGGAAAGAAAACAAAGAAAAACCACACATACAGGGTGTACAGAGGGTGGGGGGGGG